AATATGACAGAGATTAATCAAGATTGTTTATTTACTTTTATATATTGATGATATTCAATCTGAGTTAGTACTAAAATTATAACTAAGCTAAGAAACAAGATTATTTTCTCTTATATTAATTCTTCTTACACACATCAGTGATCAGTTATTGAAAATAAATTATCATCTTTCTCAAATTATTATCATATCTTCTGAATTCACTTCTTTCACTTTTTTTACTTCTATTGAAGATTCATAAACTCTTCAAGAAATCACTGTGAATTACAAAGTCTATATTATTTATAATTCAACACAGAATGCTCTCTTTCAATTATGATAAATGATCACTTCATTCTTCACATCTGATTCCAGGTCACAAAATTTATGAAAAACTTAACACAAATATTGAGATGAACTATAAAATAATTATCAACAGATTGTATTGCAGATTACTGAAGAGTTATCTCTCTGCTACAATCACTGTAACTTCATTCAGAAACATTCATTATAAACTGATTATAACTCTGAAGAAATTTTCTAACATCTGAAGTCATCAGAATACAGATAATAAAAGAAAAATAATCAGAAAATTACTACTGAGCTGATAAGTTACTCTATCAGATAATGATTTTTGATAACACTAACTTTCTAATTTGAAGGAAATTATGTGAAAATGATTCTATATCAGTACTTTGATTTCATAACTCTTATCTGATAACTTCTGTGAATAATTACTTTGTATATGTATATCTCTGAATCTTTCTCTTTAATCAATTAAAAACCCTGAATTCTGAACACTTCTTCAAATGCTTAATTCAAATCTTCATATTTTATATCAATTCTGTCTTCAGTTCAATCTCAAGATATACTACAAAGTCAATATACAATATCTAGAATCAGAGTTGAAGAATCATCAAAGAGTGTCTCTCACAGTGAATGCATGAACTAGTACAAACAATCTTACATTTATAAGAGTTATATGTTATTACATTGATAAGAACTGAACTTATTAAGAGATATTAATTGAATTTGAATCATTGATCAGTAGTCATACTGAGGATTATATAGCAGAGATATTAATAACTGTGATTAAAAATGACTATTGAGATATTAGTCTCAGTCTTCTTATAATTACAACTGACAATGCTGTAAATAACTATACTATAATGAAGAGCTTGAAGCAAAAATTGACTTTGCATTTCTGAAATGATAAATAAGATCATATTCTCTGCATTACTTATGTGATTTAACTTGTAATACAAACACTGATAAAGAATCTTAACATTGAGATGAAGAATAATGAGATAACTGATTCTTGAAATAAGAATGAGATGAAAGTGATTACTTAAGTAACTTTTATATTCACTTTGTAAAAGATAATATTTTTTGATAACACTTTTTAATATTGATTTTTAATAATGCTTTTTAATAATGCTACTGTTAATTTTGAATAGATTGACTAATAATTTAAATATCATAGATTCAAAATATTACTAATACAATTTATACCTCTTCTAAACAATAATAATAATTTCATGATATTTAATAAATAAATAAATCAGTCACATCACTGAATATGATATAGAATGTTAGAACACAGTAAAGTTCAATATATAAAATAACTATTCAGACTCTTTGATTATATCAGATAATTGATTATTAAGTGCAATACTCTGATTAGAAAAAGATTCAGATATTGAAACTTTCTGATATAAAGTGAACTCAGTTGAAATATATGATTGATTTACTATTTCAGTTTTATAAGATAATAAAGACAGTCTCAATCACTTGTACATCAATACTGCAGTCAGTCTGATAAGTATATAACAGTTTATTTACTCATTTTGAGAAGTAGTTGAATTACTTAAAAAGAAATTCAGTCTGAGATAATACTATAGCACAGGCTATTATTACTGTAAGAAATAAACTGACATATTACTACAGTAAAATAGAACAATCTTTTACAGAGTACTATACTGTAGCAGCTCTACTAGATTTCTCTTATCAAGTTAATATCTACACTTCTCAAGATTGAACAGAGAAGAAATGAGACTTATATATTAAATTAGTCTGAGACTACTACAATATCAACTATTAGAGATTTGAATAAGCAGATGTTTAAGATGTGAAGACAGTGAAATACAATTCTCTAGTAAGTAATGATTTTTGATAACACTTCATATCACATAGAACTATAATACTAACTTTGAAACAGAACTTATATACATTGATTATAACTGAAAATCAGACAAAACTATATACTTATAAAACTGAATTTGATCACTATCTTCAAGATAATTCAATGAATTTATACATCAAATCAATTCTAGAGTTATAAAAAATTGTTAAGAGTATATATTTAACTGTTATACTAATAATACATGATATTCTGATAATTTCATTGACAGAAGTGAGAATGAAGTGAAAGTTCAACTCAAGTCAAGATATTTATCACTATCACTGAAAATAATTATAAGAAGAAATAATCAAGAAACTTATGATTATAAAATATGAAATTATCAGATAGTTTAATATCTCTGATCACAGTATATCAGAGAAGTATAGTTTTCATGAGAAAGTGAAGAATAAACTTGTACAAGAATGTATTTAGTTATTTTATAAGTATTATCAATAATTATTACTAAATTCTGATTATATAAACAATCACTGAATGAACTGAATGAGACTGATTTTAATCTTCAGTCTCAGTCTCATTCTGATTTTGAAAGAATGATTATCTTTCACAGTTTATTCTGAAAAATTACTCTTATTTCACTGTTCTTGAATTAAATCTGGTCATTTTTCACACCATTTCTCTCAGAAATGGTCCATTTTCAGATTTTTTTGAGGCTTGGTCCTGGTGGGACTCACGCCAAGAAATGTATGGGACCAGACCAAATGGGATCAAATGTGAAATTCATGGTCCCGGCGGCCAGTCTAAGCATACGCTGCAGCGTGCCTTTCCGTCGGTAACGCATCTGCACGAGGCTACTGTGCTCAGTCCATGATCTGAGACTTGATTATTATCACTTGATAGGGAAGAGGTCTCAATTTATAGCTATGAGTGAGTGTTGTGCTTCATTAAGCCAAAAGTCGCTTTTTCAAGGTGTACTTCTGTCGGATCTGACTAGTTGGTTTGCTGCGGCGCTTGCAAGCTTGGGCCACAATCTGTGATCTGAAACTGTGGCACGCCATTTTGATTCGTGATTGAACTCGGCCACGCGATCCGAATACATGGTCATGATTTGCTAACTGAAACCGTGGCCCTCATCATTTTGACTCAATTTTCCACTCAGCCACGCGATCTGATCATTTATACAAAAAGAGAATACAAAAGTGTCCTATTCAAAATCACACTGTGCAGAAAATGGAATTCATTAATCTGAATGAAAGGATGAAAGTACACAAATGTAGAAATTGAAATTGCAGGAATGTAAAAATTGAAACATGCGCTTTCATACACCAAGAAACAGCTAAGCCTTGCAGCTTGTTGGATGTGGAGGTGTCGTATTGATCGTTAACCAGGTACGATGAGATGCATAGCGCTAGTCCGTAGTTAATCGAAAGCCCAAACAGGGACTCAGCGTTAGCCGCTAAGAAGCGGCGCAGCCGGTTCAATATGGGAAGACCTGCTGAGAATAACGCCAGCGTGATTCTGTTTATTCTCACAAAACTTAAAAGTATGTAAGACCCAGTGCAAAGATATCATTCTAGGTCTGTAAATTTAGAAAAGTTCTTAGAGCAAATGTAGGAATTGTGCTGGAGCAGAAATTGTGCTGTGACAAGTCTTTTTCTGTGCTCTACTTCTGTGTTAGAACAACTTCTACTACTGCTGTGCTAGAACTACTTCTACTTCTGTGCTGGGACAACTTCTGTGCTGAGACTACTTCTGTGCTGGGACTACTTCTGTGCTGAGACTACTTCTGTGCTGGGACTACTTCTGTCCTGGGACTACTGCTGTGCTGGGACTACTTCTGTGCTAGGACAGCTTCTAGTGATCAGGGCGGTAAGTCTCCAATTGTTTCAAATGTGTGTGAAGGCGTCTAAGTGTATTCCTTGTTGATCCATGAAAAATTGTTGACTCATCTGAAATGTAATCAACAGAAAACCTGTGCTGTATGGAAACACAAAATGCGCTTTGCAAGAAAAACCAGGACAAAAAGGACCAGACAGCCACCCAAGTTATAAAAAGTAAAGGTTCACAAAGTACTATGTGAGACAGATGTGAAAAGCAGGAGACTACAAGAGCAGATGAGATCAAGGAGCAGAGAGAGAAAGGAGAGTGTGTACATTACACAGTCAAAGAAAATGAATATATAAACCGCAGCCGGAAGCACTATGCTGAACTTGGGTATTCATTCTCTTGGCATAGGGGCCTCGTTGGATATTTCCAACGAGCGTCAGTGACCGCAAGGTGCCCGCTTTTTCCGCCCCGCGATTGAAATTAATTACCCTGTGCCATTAACTTCTATTTACCATGTTATGCTTACTAACTCTAAAGATGAAGAAACAGAATTATTTCTAATCTATCTGGAGGCCCTAAAATTTAAAAAAGGCTGGGTAGGGGAGTCCGAGCGAACTGCTGTGTGAGGCCTTTTCTCAGGGAAAAAGTCTAAAAATGCACTTCGTGTATTTTCTACAAGTCTCTTTTTAAGTGAGCAGTAGTATTATTGATTATTAAGATCTCAATACTGATAGAATAAGACAATTTTAACTTCTGATGAGCATATTGAATGAAGCAGTAGTTAAATAATGATTATATCAACAAGGAATTCTGAATTGGCAGTGATTTTTATGCAAAATGAGTCTCATAATCTGTGAAAGGTATAAAGCTTGTGTGATTGAAAGGTTGCTAGCTTGTGGAAAGTTATTGTTGGGGGTCCCGCGGTTGGTCGGCCCTTCTACCAGCAGGCGCTGGTGGTGATTGAGCTCTTTTGCCCCAGTAGCCTACAGTTATATGGTGGAGGGATTAGTAAGCCAGATCACGTGACCTGACACAAACAACATTGCTCATTCCTACAACTCTCTCAGTTCCCGTAATTCTTGGTATTATCAACAACCCGAGACGATTCATAACAAGATGCCCATTAAACAACAAATTCAACTGTCAGCGACCCTGAATGCAATGCAAACAGAGATGGACTTTCTTGACTCCTCCTTCTTCACCAAAGCAGGCCATAAGAGCTTGCCAACTGCTGCAGAGGTTGGCTCCCTCTCAGAACAGTTCAACAAACATCCACGGCCCGCACCAGTTAAATTTGAGCATCTAAATCTTCTTGTCAAGTTTGGGCCGTCTGTGGCAGTTGAAGAAGCCCTAACTCTCCGCATGCTTCGAATGTCTTTCACTGAGAAGATACCTGTCCCGGAGGTGTATGGTTGGAGAGTTTATCAAAACTCTGTGTTCATTTATATGGAGCTTATTCAGGGAGACACGCTCCATGATCGATGGGATTCTCTCAATGAGCTGGATAGGAACTTTATTTGCGGCCAGTTACGGGAGATTATTTCTTCCCTTCGGCAAATTGAGCCAGATCCTTGCGACTCATTTATTGGTATGCATGTATCCTGCAATGTCTATCAGCGGAGTCGCTTACTGAGGTGTAGGATCCATCAACCGCGCATGTTTGCACGATTATGTCTTTGCAACCATCCCTCAATCAGGCCCTTTTAAAAATGTGAAAGCATTCAATGACTGGTTTTCTTCTCTGCCTCAAAGCTGGCTTCCTGATTCAAAGAGATATCGGGATCCTTATCAAGACTATCTACCAGACAATGGGGCCATCAGGTTGACTCATGGAGACTTGCATCGGGGCAATATTCTAATTTCACCAGCTGGTCACCCACGTGTCCTTGCTGTAGTTGATTGGGCTCATGCTGGTTGGTACCCGGAATACTGGGAGTATTGCAAGGCCTTATACACATCAGACTATAAGGGGGAATGGCGCAATGTTTGGATTCCCAAATTCTTAACTGCGTACGAGCCTGAGTTTGCTGCTTTTGGTGAATATGTGCTGCAGATTGGAGCAGTGTAAGTATTGATGTTGTACTTAGCCTTCTAAATTACATTTGTCATGATCATTTACCGAGCTTTTCTTTCCAATATCCTTCATAAGCTATGTACTCGAGTGTGCTTCACCCTGTACTGATGATTGACCAGAGAAACAATTGCTAAATGCCAGAAATCAAAATGAAAAATGGGATTTACTAATAAGGGCCTCGTTGACCAGTTGAAACTCCGCAGTAGCTCATATCAGAAAACAAAAATAAGCAACATGATTCAAATTCAAACAGGGCCAGCCCAGTATCACAATCAACAGTAACAATTATGGCATTTCATTTCACATTCAATTATGCGCAAATTCTGAGTTCACTGACCCCTGCCTCGACCACGCCCGCCGCCAACCGGGTTCAAGCCAACACCGTGATTTGGAGGATCGCGTGCAGACTGAACAATCTGGATCGCATTTTCATTGAGATATTGATGATGGACTAGATGGTGTACATAGTCCATTGTCCATTCTTGGCACCTTCTGTTGGTGGTCTAGATTTCTTTGGTGTAAGCAATCGTGCCTATGTAAACAAAATCCGAGAGCAACTTACATCATTGACAGGAGCCAGGAAGTTTTGGCTAATTGCTGATGGAGGAATCTGCGTCGCTGCAACTTCAATTGCACACTTGGGGGAGGAGTCTGTGACCAGCGGGGCCTGAGGATCCGAATCTGGAACAATGTGTTGAGAGTTGATTTGCCTGATCGCAAGTCTGGTATATAGCTGCAGGGTTAAGTTGATCGCATAGTTCCGCTTAAACTCCAGCCGGTAGCCGGCCATCGGGGCGCCAACAATGTGGATCATGGTTCCGCGATCCTGATCGGAAGCAGTAGGTACAAAAATCGCAAAATGGGCACGTTGGCTTGCCGTGTTGCGGTACGCGATAAGAGAAACGTTTCAAGGGGCCATTCTGAATGAAAACGAACTAGCAATTAGACAACTAGAGTTGTCGAGAAGGCGCGTGAGTTAAAGGCAGTGGAGGTAGATATAGCAAAGGACAAAGCAGAGGCTTGATGTTGGAGACTGTTCTTTCTTTCCATTCTCAAAGGAATCTGCGGCCTTAAATATTCCATTCGGGTCTTCTGAAAGGACGTAACCGCCCGTAACAGAGAATTAAAAATATCCAAGTATGGGTGCTTGCTGGAACAGGAGTCATCTGCCATCATAGTAGCGCTGACAAAAATCCTAAACTTGATCCGGGCTGCGGGAGAATTGATTGAGAGCGAATCGGCCATTATGGGGTGTGATCTGTTGAAACATTGTAATGCGGCGCAGCATCTCGATGCTGGCGATTGCTGTGAAGTCTCCGGGGTGTCGGCGAGCAACATCTGGAGTCTGAGCCAATAATGTGACCTTGTACTATGTCCAAAATCCAACTTAAGCGCCTTGTTGGTGAGTTCACAGGGGTTGAGGAGACCCGATTGGAAATACTCAAAAGTCAACAGCTTCTCTTTGCCGCAAGAACTCAAATTCGAGTCCTGCTACAGGCGATCAAGAATCGAGAGATGGAAAGAGCGCCAAATACAGAAGCGCTACTTATGAGACCTTCCTTGCCACCAAAGGCAGCTTTATGGCTGAATCTGAACTTGAAGTAACGGAAAGAAGCAAAGAGATTTGCAAAATGCTACTTGATGAGAAACAAACGATTCCCGAAGGCACGATATTTCAGAATGACCGATTCCGGAAGGCTTGCCAAAAGCTACAGAGTAAAAATGAATCAAGAGTTATTCAAGATATATCTCGGTTGATTGTGCCTGCGGCGGAGACATTAGCTACTTGTGGCGCTAAGAATCTGGAGTGTTTGGTTGAAAGATGTCTCGAATACTGCTAGCTTTCTTGTGCTGGAATAACTTAATTTTTGTGTCCTATCGTGATGGTGACGACTGGGGATACATATGGCCTACAAACAGCAAATTAAATCAGTAAGCCATTAAAGCTGAAAGCGTCGAGAGAGCTCACAATGATAGTGGTTGATTGTATTCAATCATCAGACATCGCTGGTCAGACATCAGTTGTTTGGCCTGATCATCCATTTTGCTGCGTTTAGATTTATTTATTTTTGCCATTGTCAAGACGCCTCTGGTTGTAATGTTTGATGTTGCAAAGTGATTGTAGCTTCCCAAAGCAAACTGAATGAATCGGGGCTTTCTTATCTCAGCAAGCTCAGACGCTTCTCCAGATAGTCATTGCTGTTTTAACACTGAATTGATGATTATATCATGAGCTAACCTCAAATAAGCAATAAGCTAACCCAAATAGTAAAATCAGATTATGTGAGTGATAATATCTTACAAAGTATCTGAGAAGAAACAGTTTCTGATTATTAGTAATATGAGAATAATTTACTCAGTACTCTAAGTATGAAAGAGAATTTCAACTCAATTTCATAGATTCATCATTTCTGTATTATCTTAGAATCTTAGAATAACAATATTCTCATAATGTATCTGATTTTTATATTTATATCTCAAGTTCTTAGAATAGAAGTATTATCTCAAAGTTGATCAGTGTGTTTTTGAATACAGGAATTTTAATTCAATTTCTCATATAAAAAAAAGCTCTTAGAAATTCTGAGATTAAAAAATATAATCATTTTTAAAAGTATACATCTATCTTAAATATAGATTTTTTTGAAATATTAAAGAAATATTTCTATTCTTCTTCTCTTTAGCTATAAGCTAAGGTGATTTTCAAATCTCAAAGATATATAAGTATATAGTAATAGAAAGTTAAAGTTAAAGAATCTGAAAAATTCTTATAAATCTCAGAAACCTTTATCAAAGATGAAATTATTTCTTATCAGACTCTCTGATGAGAATTGCTCTGAGCATATAACTTGTATTAAAAGTAGATTAGTGTCATACTGAATTAATTAATAATAATGCTGTAACCTGTTTAAACTGAGTCAGAGAGTCTGAGCTCACTGAGATAAGAGACTTTTCAATTGACTGATAGTCATCACGTGACTACTATCTGATCGGGTGAGTGTTCTTTCTCTCAGAAGCTATGATAATATCAGAAGCGTACTTTTTCATCACTGTCTCATTTATATTTAGAATTAGCATTGATGATATAAATTTCATATATATATGAGATAAGATTGATTGAGAACAATCTTATAATTATAACTAGACTGACCGTGTAACCGTGTCTGAGATCAGAATCAGAATTTTTAATAGTTCTATTATTAATTTAACAGATCTCATTACATAGTTCTAACATTAGATAGTAGTTTCATACTGTCTACTCTTGTCACATTTTTCAAATGAGATCATGATTTTCACTTCTTAATTTAAATTATTTTTATTGCTTTAAATGACTTTAAATCTCATTTGAGTATTATCAAAAAGTGTTACTTTTTAAAAAATTAAAAATAGTCTAAAAAAAACCTTAAAATGTCTAAAAATAGTAACTTTATGTCAAGAATGAGATTAAATGAAATCAAATGAGATCACTTTCTCATTTTTTTCAAGTTATGATTTCATTTTGAGATCTGATATATAGTCACTTTGCATGTTTATTTAATAATTAATCCCAGCGGAATTTATGCTAAGAAATGTATAAGATCAGATTAAATAAGATCAAATATGAAATTCATAATCTTAGTAATCAGTTTAATTATAACTGATCTACTATGAAAAATTATTGACTCATCTGAAATGTAATTAATAAAATACTCATACTGTATAAAAACACAAAAGCTCTTTGCAAAGAAAAATATATAAATTATAATCTATGTTTAGAAAAGTAATAATATTTAATAATACTCTTTATTAAATTTTTAACAAATAAGTACTATGTTATAAAATTATATAAGTAAGAAATAATTTTATAATCTTATTTAATATTATTCTTAATAATAAGATGAATGAAAATATAACTAAGAATTTAAATATATTCTTTATTTAAGATGTGATTCAAAGATTGCTTAAGTCAGCGTATGATTACAGACGTACGCCGGCTTCTTATATATTGTAATATTGTACGCTAATTTAATTAGCAGCTGCTATGGCCTCTTTACACTTGTACATGTATACTAGTAGTTCAGAAGCAGCTGCATTATTATCTGACAGTTGTACATTCTTCTAAATCACATTCTCTCTCACTAGATTCAATCACACTCATATAATCATGTCATATGTTCTAGCTTCATGCAGATTAGCTTATTACTAGCATTTTACAATTGTATAATCTATTTCTGATTCAGCTAGTGTTCTGTGTATACTCTTACAAAGAAACTTCTACTATATTATATCACTCATTTACTAACTTTTCTCATTCTCTAATTATCTTCTTCATTATTATCATCATTGAACATTACTATCTCATTCAAGATTTCTATCTCTTCTTCTATTCATCTCTTTCTATCTGTTCATCTATCACATTGTATACATTTCTGACAATGACTCTCTGTTCTCATAACAAGTATCATCATAGTGCTTATATCAGACAGTTTGTTAGCAGTAAGTGTAATATATTGTGAAATGTGATCAGAACTTGTTTATTTTCTAACAATTATTAGAATGTATTATTATGAATAACATATCTTCTTCATCTTCTTATACATCTCTGATCATTTTCTTCAGCAGGTTTCTGATCATGTTTTCTGACATAATTTTACATGAACACAGATACTGATATGTTTGTTTTTATTCACATAGAATCTTCACATGTTGACAGATTCATATGTGTTAATAATAGTAAACCTGATGTTGAATCATTGATCAAGAACTTGAAGAATGTGATAATGAAGAAATTACTTATACTATATATAATCAGATCTTCTGTATCTCTCTCTGCTCTCTCTATTTCTTTCTCTGCTGCTCTCTCTCAATCTTCTACATCTGTCTCTATGTCTGATTCTCCCGCTTCTGCTATCTCTGTTTCCATGATTCTCACTTCTGCTACTTCTGGTTTTACTATCTCTGCTTTTATTATCAGCTCTTCTCATTTCAAGAAAATGTTGTATAGACTTGATAAATCACATTTCTTAGTATATACACTTCTGCTCTTCTTATCAATCTCTAGAACAATTTATTGTATAAAGATGATATATAACACAACTATCTGAAGCTCAGTTACAAATATCAATTATTATATTTATTTTAAATATTTGTGATAAGATAATTATTTATTCATATTAGAGAATCACTTTCTCTCTTAACAGTGTCAAGATTATAAGTCTTTTTTCTTTTTCATCTTTTTCTTTTCAACACTGATTTTTCTGTTCTTAGAAGAAATTATTATAAGTTTTACTATATATAAAGTCATGATATTCACAGATATCAAGAAGCTTTTCACAATTATAAAGTTCAATATTGTAGAGACATCTGTTCTGATGAATTTCTTTAGAATAATAGATCTGTATCAGTCTATTCTCTAGCATCTGTTATTCAACTTCATGATGCAGATAAAAGATATCTGTGTTTTTGAGAATAGAAACATAGATGTTATACTCTTTTACATCTGCAGATGTGAGACTTATACACCTTGTCTGAAATATTGTTATGAAAATGAGCTGTTTATATACTGTGTTCTGCTTTCTGTATTCTTCTATGTCTCTCTCTCTCTTTCTGAGAAGCCTTGTATGTGTTATAATTACATGTACAACTCTAAGATTAGCAGATGTTTATTCAGTCACTGTTTTTATCTCTGATTTTGTAATTTTCATATACTAACAATAATTCTTAATTACTTCAGTGTCAGAGATCATTCTGATTGAAGATGATAATATCACTGAGACTACTCTCTTTCACTCTTAAGCTTCTTCTATTACTTTCTCTCTCTCTTCTGCAGGAAAGATTGTGTATACACTGAGTTATAAGTATTCAGCTCTGAGTGACTCTCACTGTCATTTGTTCAGTTCTGTGTCTTCTTCTTCTTCTGTTTCTTCTGTCTCTGTTCTCTCTGCTCTGACTTCTGATTCTGCAGATTTCATACTCTTCTTCAATTTCTCTACACATACATATACACATTTCTATATTGGCATTCCAGTCAATCTTGTGATAAATGATATTAATGTTGTATATAGAGCAGTAGAGAAATCAGAGATATGTGTGATATTATTGTAAGAGCAGCTTGCAGCTCTCAAATCCCTTGTAGATCTTGAGTTTTGAGATTTCCTTTGTTTTTGACATTTTTCAGATGATGTGATGTTGAAAATAGATTAAATATATAGTGTATGAAAAT